GGGGGGGGGGGGGGGGGGGGGGGGGGGGGGGGGGGGTTGTTGATCGTGTGACGACTGGCTTGGTCATTGTTATTGTTCACCAGATGGTAGCTTGTAGTGGCTGGAGTTTGAGGAGCGGACGAGGAGGAAGAGAAGAGGGGGAACAGGGTGGTAAGCTCACAGAACAGTAGTAAAGGAGGCGGGAATCAATTAGGTGGGTTGGATCTGTTAACTAAGAAGCATGCGTAGGGATCGATTTCGGCTTCCCATCGGTCTCTATCGTCACATGTTTTCATGGTTGTCATTGTCCCAGGAGCAGCCCGACCTCTTGTTGCCATTTGAACAGTAAACAGGAGGATAAGGAGGGAGGGAGGAGGAGGAGGAGGATAAGGAGGAGGAGGAGGATCAGGAGGAGGAGGAGGATCAGAAGGAGGAGGAGAGGTGGCGTGGGTGATGGTGGTGTAGGAGGGAAAGAGCGGGAGATTATTGTGGAGGGTGGAATTGTGCGAGGAAGGAGGGAAAGGAGGGGGATGAATGGTAGACCGACCGGCTGTAATTGTGGTGTGGGAGAGTGGCAAACGGCATCGATCTTGTGAGAAGGGGTTGAAAAGTGGAGGTGGTGGGGGCTTGGGGCGCAGCGTGGCTGTCATCAATGTTGCAGAAACTGGGAATTCGCTCTCGTTCTTCGGAGCAAGTAGTAGCGAGGGTGAAAGGGTATCATGATTTAGCGAAGGAGTTGATCTCCAAAGGGGTGGATAAGGAGGAGAGGGGTCGGCCAATGGAGGCGCTGCCTTTCTACAAACAAGGTTTGCAGGTCATCCAGGAAGGTTTGGAAATACCGATCCCCAAGGACTCGGAGCTGACGGCGAGGCAGCGAGAGGAGATCGAACGGTGCACAGGGGACGTACTGAAGTGGAACGCGGACGTGCAGGAACGTGTGCAGGTCATCGAGAGCTTGGGAGCATCGGAGTCCTCCGGGAGAGGAACGGCAGCAGCAGCAACAACAGCAGCAGCCTCGCCAAGAGCGGCGGCGCAGTCGCGGCCGTCATGGGCGGGGGGAGGGGGGGGGGGGGGAGGAGGTAGCGGAGGAAGCGCAAGGCAGCCGCCGCAGTCGCTGGCAGCTGTTCCGCCATCTCCATCCACGCGGGGAAGATCTGCTGCGGCAGTTTTGCCGAGCACGGCGGCGAGGGGATCGGGGTTGTTGGCTGCGCGGGGAAGCGGAGCCAACCGCGGGCGCGCGCCGCCTCTGTCCAGCAGCAACGGTAATAGGACAGCGGCAGGGGGAGGGCGCCTGTTGTCATCAGGCAGGACGGTTGGCAGCGGACGCGGAGCAGCAGCAGCAGCAGCAGCTGCAGGAGGAGGAGGAGGAGGACGGAGCAGCAACAGGTCTTCTCCTACTCCTGGAGGTGCGCTTGTAAGAAGTGGGGGAGCAGGAGGGACAGGAGGAGGAGGAGGAGGAGGAGGGGGTGGGAACGCAAGTTTGGCGACGGCGGGGGGAAGGACCCGCAATGGAGCGGCGGCCGTGGCAAGGAATCCTGTGAGAGGCGTGGATCCCAAGTTTGTGGAGATGATCGAGAGCGAAATCGTCGACCGCAGTCCCTCGACGGACTGGGAAGATATCGCTGGTCTGGACCACGTGAAGCAAGTGCTGACGGAGATCGTCATCCTCCCTTCCCGCCGATCTGATCTGTTCAGGGGTTTACGGGCTCCAGCGAAGGGGATCTTGTTGTACGGCCCCCCCGGGAACGGCAAGACCATGCTGGCCAAAGCCGTGGCGCGGGCGGCAGGCGTGACGTTCTTCAGCATCAGCGCGTCATCCTTGACCTCCAAATGGGTGGGAGAGGGGGAGAAGCTGATGCGGGCCTTGTTCGCGGTGGCGGCGGCGAGGCAACCGTCCGTTATATTTATCGATGAGATCGATAGCATATTGTCGGTGAGGAGTTCGGGGGAGCACGAGGCGAGCCGGCGGCTGAAGACCGAATTCCTTGTGCAGTTTGATGGGATGAATAGTGGAGGGGAGGAGGACAGAGTGATCGTGATCGGGGCGACGAACAGGCCGGGGGAACTGGACGATGCCGTCAGACGGCGGCTGGTTCGGCGCATATACATTCCGCTGCCCGACGCCAAGGCGCGGAGAGCGCTGCTGACTCATCTGCTCAAGGGGCAGGCCTTCTGTCTTCCCGAGAGGGATCTGGAGAAGATCGTGGTCGCCACGGATGGGTACTCTGGCAGCGATCTGCACGCGGTGTGCAGAGAAGCTGCGATGCAACCGATCAGAGAGTTAGGCTCTAGCGTCAGCACCGTGCAGGCCGATGAGGTGAGACCCCTCGCCCTTGCGGATTTTAAAGTCGCCCTCAAGGCCATAAAACCTAGTGTGTCCAGGGCGCAGCTGGCGGCGTTCGAGCAATTCAGTCTCGAGTTCGGCGCGGCGTGAGTGTGAAAGACACTGATCGACGGATGGCTGGCTCAGTTGGTTGCCGCCGGATGATTATTGCCTCCCACCCATCGAATCGACCGGTTGTGTGTTGGTAGCACGGGCAAGGTCCCAATTGCACGGATTAAGAGATTCTGGCCGTTGATCTTTGCAATCTACGGTCAATGTCGCTTAATTCGTGTAAGTGGGACCTAGCCCCAGGACGTGGAGGGAGTAGTGAGAGAGAGAGTCAATGTCAGGAAGGCTGCTGCTGGAAGTTGGCCGGCGGGATGATCATGGGGGTGTGTCATTTAAGGCTCAGCTGGCGGGGTGTGAGCAATTCAACCTCTTGGCTCCGCCGCGTGATCTGCAATGATCGACGGCTCAGTTGTGCGTGGGATGATCGCTTCCCGCTCATCGGTCATTGGTTGGTGGGAGGAGGCTGGCGGGAAGAGCACAGCCAGCAGTGATGGAGAGAGAGAGAGAGAGCGAAGTCCAGTGAGGCGGCCGGCCGTTGGGGGAGGAGGAGGTATCTCCAAGCTCAGCTGGCGGCGTGCGAGCAATTCAATTCAATTCAGTCTCTCGAGCTGGCGCGCGGTGTGATTTGAATGATCTATGGCTCAGTTGGTCTCCATATCGCTTCCCGCTATCTACTCTTTTCTTTGCTCGGCGGGAAAAGAGTAGTAGTAGTGAGAGAGAGAACTACACCAGTGCGGCTGGCTGTTCGTGGGGCGGGGTAGAAGTGCGCGCAGAGGAGCAGCAGTGCTCAAGGAAGCGAGCTGGGTGTTGCCAGGCATGAGTGGAAGAGAGAGCTCCAGTAGCTGTTGGACAAGTGGGGGAAGGAAGAGGTAGCAGGGAGGGAGGCGGAGTCTGGACTTGGAGAGAGCTCAAGGAAGGAGACTGAAAAGTGCGGCTGGAAGAGAACTCGAGCAAGGCAGTCGGAATTTTGGCGGGAAGCGACAGTGGTGGTAGTCAAGGTCTCCACAAAAAGTGCGCTGAAATTTTGGCGGGAAGGCAGTGGGCAGAGCGGGTGGAGTGGTGGCAGGAAACATCTCCACGAAAAGTGCGCTGAAATTTTGGCGGGAAGACAGTGGGCAGAGCGGGTGGACACATAGCCGCACCCCACAGCTCCAACCAGTTGGTCGCTTTCCTTCCTCCCTCCCTCCCTCCG